ATTACACTAGACACATAGTTGTGTAGCTATTTAAAGCGAACAGGTTATTATTGCCAGTAAATAAAATGAAAATTATGTTTTCATAGCATTTTGTAGAAGTCGATTATTTGTTAGTTTTTTGTGTTTTTGCTAGGTACTTGTTTAAGTTTAGTCTATTAGATGATGCATTGGATAAAGGTCCAACCATGATAAACCCTTTAAAAACTTATATCCGTTTTTTATTAAAGATTCCCGTTGTAACTTTTTTTTATGCAATAGGTCGGCAAACGAGCAGACGGATTACCTGATGGTAAGCAATCAGCGCCGCCCATGGACACTCGCAACGGAGGAGTTACGAGTGCGTTGCCGACCTTTTAGGGATTAGGGATTTGGAGATTAAGGGATTGAGGAGGGATTGGGGGAGGGGAAGGATTGGGCCTCCGGTAACCTCACTCACACGGCGAAACACAACACTGTGGTTTTCTCAATAAATTCACGTGACTAATTCATTAATTTAAAGTTTTATTAGTATGTCTTACGTTAATTATTCACTATTACAAAAAACCGAAATAATATTTTCGTAGATAGGTACGTTGAAAGCTCTCATTTTTAAAATAATTTCTCTGAAATACAAGTATATAAACTAACTTATTTGCACTGCTCTGGGAGCGCAGTAATTGAACCTATTAACGCTTGTTAATAGGTTTAATTACTGCGCTAATATAAGAGTCAGAATAATTTGGCCGAAAAGTATACATTTTTGAGAAATGTATAGGTAACGTTCACGTAAGATGACCTGAGCATTTTAACGCATCCCTAATTCACCATAACTCAGTGATTTGATACCAATACCGATATGTGTTATTAGCTACTCACGCGCGGTTTCACCCGCTGCAGGGCTCCATTTAGTCGTAGCGTGATGTTTTATAGCCTATAGCACTCAGAAACATTGTAGCTATCTACCAGTGAAAGAAATTCGGAAATCCGACCAGCAGTTACAAAGATTACCCCCTACATAAAAACTTACAAAATTTTACCTCTTTATAATATTAGGATAGATGAAATTCTAATTAATTAGAATCTGATCATATTTAATAGTAACTAATTGTATAAACTCATCAATCTAGTGTTACCTTTATAAATGCACTCTTTGTTAAATAGTAGTTATCATTATCACCCACGTTAAGTGGGAAAGCAATCTCTAATCCTGAAGTATGCTGCATTTCCTTATCGTTAACGATAAATGATTGAGTCGTTCCGTAATATAAACAGTATTTCGTCTCATTATTGGTGTTGCCGCTGGCCAATACACCAATGTTTGGTACGGTGAACAATGCGGCATTGGTTTAGAGGTAGTTGATCAAGATGTCGTTGCAAGTGGCGTTGGATGTTGCTTCATATTGGTCAGCCAACATTTGAAAGGCTGGCTGGATCTTCAAGAGGCGTTGCGTGCCGGCTTCTTAGTTCGCTTCGATACTTCAAAGAAGGTGCTTGTATAGTTGTTCGCGGAATAATTTATTTGATTTATCGTATTTTTACGACGGAACAAAATTAATTTTGAAATGTAACGCACCAACACTATTGCCGAGTTCAATTTGTGCTCAGTTTTTTGTGAAAATGATTGAAGTAATCGGTAATGTGTGAATTTGTTTTTGTTGTATATTATTTTTTGTTTAGATTGGTTGGAAAATTTGCTTTAAGGATATCAGTGACGATTTTTGTACGATCTCATATCTGTTCTATAATTGTCTAGTCTCTATTTTTTCAAAGAGGATCTATTGCCTGGAAAAATACATTGCATTATATCTATATATATATAAAATATGATGGTATAGAATATAATGGTCTATATCATAATTATACAATACCATGTATACCATTTATAGATAATTGAGCGCCTAGAACTTCTACTTAAAAAAACCTCGCATCAATTCAATGGACGATAATATATTATAGTCTATGTAGTATATTATAAATGATGCCAATTATTAACAGAAAAATCTTGTTTTATTCGAAGCTGTGATCAACTATTGCAATAGGCAGATGCTGCAAAAAAAGTCAATTCTATTTTTTATCGCAGCGATTCACGGCAGTTTTTTAATATCTCAACACCATGTTTATGGTTCAGCATATTTTTTTACTTATGTGACTTTATTAAGGAAATCCTGATATAGGTATTTGAAACCAGTTTTTCTTTTAAGAGCCTTAGGAGAAGTATAGGAAACATCAGTTTATCAATCAACAATAGTAGGGGGTGTCTCTTGTTGCGGGTGAAGTAAGAGACTGACTGAGAGTATTGAGAGGTCTTCCGCACTATTTCCGACCCGAATTAAATACCCGAATACGGAGTGCTTAGTACTTCTATGGTAATTTACTACATATATCCGTCATCTGTCATCCGAAATTATTTTCTGTTTTTGTTTTCCAGACCTTTATTTCTAAGAGTTCGGAGTTGCTCTTAAACGCTTAACATATACCGGGCAGCTCAGATAAATCATTTGCACTGTTTTAATCCACTTTTTAGTCGAAGAAATTTAATTTATGTGGGATAGTGCGGTATACGAGCAGACGGTTAGCCTGATAGTGAGAATTCAGCGGCTTCCATGAATTACAAGTCAGAAACACGTTGCCGACTCTTTAGGGTTTTCGATTACTTATATCGATTATAGATGGGATTAAAAGGTAAAACCTAAAAAGAAAATAAGTACAATCTGAGAGTAATTTTTTTCTGACTTCTGAAACTTTAATCTCTATAAGGCCGGCAATCCACTCGTAACTCTTCTGGTGGGTGGCGGCACCGATTGCTTACGCTGATTAGGTACATCAGGTAATTTGTCTGCACGTTTGCCGGCCTATTACATAAATAAACTGACAAATATTATTCTATGTAAAAATAGTTCTAATAGTTTTAAAACGTTCTGTGTAATTATGGATGTATTATTATCTATGCTATTTAGGAATCGCGTCACGTGTCGCTCTTTATTTTTGTTTTCATTTTAGGTAATGGCCAAGGACACTGCTTGCGGCCAGCTTTCCTAAATATGTATTTACATTATGTAGTTAGCATGCAAATTTAGGTTTAGTTACACGTGCAAAGGCAATATGGAGGTCACTACATACTCGTAGGATATGTATTTTGTTTTGGATATTTGTTCGCCATAGTTTTCCTCAAGTTCGGTGTGAATTGGTAAAAACCTTATTACTTAATGGTACATTCACACGCTTGCCGAGACTTGGCAAATGTCCACAAGCACCAAGCCTAAAACACGCGCCAACGTGTTAATACGTCGCAAACGCTTGTCACAAATTTCCTTTGATCTGTCTGCAAAATCCGAGACAGGACCGGATCGCCGACCAGCTCATGCAACCCTGTTCACATGCTTGTGCTTGTCGATGCTACACGAGACTTGCTAAGCGTGTAAATTATTTTTTTTTTTTTTAAATACGTTGTCGCCTCCCACATTAGGATTTTCGTTGAAGGAAGATGGAAGTGCGTTTATAAACATTTCAGATACACAATGTATCGTAAGACTATTTAATTTTTATTCTGTCAAAATCGACAATCTTTCTTTATCATAATCATAAAGTGTCAAGTCAAAATATCAACTTCTCTTGCCCTGGTTGCGGGGAGAGGGAGTGTCAGACTTACTGACTAAAAGCCATCCCGTTCCTTCTCCTGGTCCAGGCCCAGGCCGCGGTACCTTATTGCGCTTGCCCCGCAACCCCGGCTGCATTAATAGTTTTCGAAACAAAATTCAAACTAATATTATAAATCTAAAAGTAACTCTGTCTGTCTGTCTGTCTTTTCTTCACGCCTAAACTACTGAACCAATTTTTGTGAAATTTGGTACAGACATAGTTTAGAACTCGATAAAGGACATATGATAGTTTTTACACCAAAGATATGCAGGAAGTAACTATTCCACACGAAAGAAGTCGCGGTCAAAACGTAGTAATCACTAAGGAAGACAGCGTGTGTGTACTATATTCTTTTTTTTATATTCGTAACTCTATAATCTGATCAGTCTACACTGATTTTAGGTTGCTCGATGGAAACGGATTGTCCGATCTAGGACTATAGCTTGATGAGACATTACGTTAATTAGTTGATTATAATTTGTTTCAATTTCTCTGGTTCAATCAAGATAATCTTACCAAATAAGTTAGCAAGAGCGGCTATGACGCCAGGAGGGGGTCAATTAAAATTAGAATTTGATAACAATAGATACGAATTTACGGCAAGCGGAGCATCTGGCTGCAACTTAACACTACAATTACGCTATAAACAGCCGATCTTCATTTACAATGACAAAATCTATTAGGTAATGATGTATAGTTAGTAACTAATTGTTTCCCAGTTTCAATATTTATTTCGACTATATTCGCTTTTTGGTATGAAAACGCTCTTGAAAAGATCGACGATTAAATCTAGAAGAGCGTTGTATACCTATACATAGCTCTGCGGAAGAAAAAAACGCGACACGAAGCGTTCCGCGCGCGCTTCAAAGTTTTAATAGACCACTACAGATGGGCCCCAACAGGGCTGATATTCAGACAGGGTCGTGGGTAAAGGTACTGCGGCCTTGAGCTGGAGCAGGAGAATAAAGGGGGGTTTAATCAGTAAGGGCCCACTAAGAGTCCGTCCCGCCATACCTTGGACGGGAGGTTAATGATTTCTTCAAGAAAAGTAACTCTTTGCTAGCTCAGTTCATCAATGGTCTCTGACCTGAATCAATTTTTGCAAATCATTGCTGAGCTGACTGTACATAGGTTAAAATTTCTTTTATTTTATGTCTGTAATGTTTATAGAGATTATGAAAATGTACATAATATGAAATCCGTTTACATTTTAAACACTTTTTATTAACCAGATAAATAATTTGCGTTGTGATAAAAGGTTGACAGCCTCCTCGCGTTCTTATCGTGACTAGACAAATGACTAACTAATAAGCTATGTGCTCCTATTACCAGACATAAGAACTGTTCGTAAAAAAAATGGTACATTTGTTTTTTCTCTTTAGGAAATGCCCAAGCGTCAAGCAGACTACGGCGAGTGGCTTCCAAGCTGTGCAGTACAGAGTCATGGAAGAGAAGGCTACCCATCACAATATGGCTGCCCAAATACAGCTTCGAATATTTATTACGAGACGCCATAGCAGGTAACTATTACATATTTTCTTCTGTTGCTGGTATCCTAGTAGGTGAAACACAAAAGTGAACGATGCAATGGCACCTCAAGAATTCCAATAGAAATTAATTTTAATAACAATACGAATATGGTGTTAATTAGTAGTTTGTTTGAGTATTTATCACAAAACAGCTCGCATAATTTCAAACATATTACGGGTTGCAAATTCAAAAAGAATGGTGATTAATAGGGAAGTATAGTAGGTAGTTACAATGAATGCATTTTTCATTAGTGAATACATTCTTTGTCAATTGATTATATCGTTGGCAGTGTACACCCGGATTCGAGATAATTCTAATACTGGAGTTAGTTACCATAGCTAGGAATAAATCAGTCACTAAAGAAATATCTCGCTATAGAATATGCAGTGAACACGTACGTAACCTTTTAAGAAAAGCACTTTAGTAGGAAAAATGAACGAAAAACCTGATTAAGGATTTTGGACAAGGACAAACAAGTTTTTAATAACAAGTAGGTATAGCAGGTCCTTGCCTTCTTTCTACCCAATTGAGTGGAGTTCGGTCGCCTGACCGACAATTGAACCGGTTGAGTGATGACATAACGTTCGATAAACAGTGCGTAATGTTTCCGTTTCTATTACCATAATAATCAATAATTATTTTTGCTTGTATATCCGATGAAGTGAATAAATTAATCAATAAGTTATTAACGAAAAATGCACTTGTGAGAAGTCGATTTTGATGTCTGTCATAGTCATTATAATATTCACATTACTTTATCTTTAACTTGGATGATTTTTTTTATTTACTCTGTGATTTATTAGGAGTTATACGAAAATCGAATTCGAGTGTCTTTAATGGAATCGCTCCTAAACATGAATCAGCAATTAAATAAAATGCTTTCATTTTCATTCAGATAAATCATGCTCGTGTAGTACTAGGGTAACAGAAGTTCGGACAAGTACTTAAACTTCGTTTTAGGTTAGTGAGAAAATAATAAACTCATTAACTCGTTAAGTGCGAACTAATTACCATAATATCCTGCGCGTTTAGAATTTTAATTGTCTGTTGGTGACGTCAAGTGTAAACTGCATGAACATCCACTGACTGGATGTAAACTAAGCACGTCTGGGATTTATAGATAATCTGTGAATACAATAAATGTTATCTTATCTTCCCACGGAACTGTGAAAACAAAGTGATTTAATTCAAATCCGTTTGTTTGTGATTTAAACTGGAGTGAAGTAGATCTGTGTGGATAAACACACGTCTTTTTATGATCCACAATCATTGGATTTGTTCATGCGTCGTTTGGATCAGTGACCTGCCATTATTTCAAGATTAAATGATAATTCTCTCATAAATCAAAGTTTATCTTCTCCCTGCATTGTTTTAAGATTTCAATTCTTTTGACATTAAAATAATTTGCTTTCTTCAACAGTTCGTCTGTTTCGCTAGTTGTTTGAATGTAAATAAGGTTTTCAATTTATAACATTTACGAGCTGTGACTGAGTAGCGAGCAAATACTAATGTATACTTACACTATTTCAATATGTTTATATGTTTATATTAAATGATTAAGCATAATTGATTAATTCAAGGTATTGCGCAATTGAATTTAATATTATTTTTCTAGTACCGCAATAACAATGTACAATGTAGTTCTTTCTTTATTTTATAGACATGCAATTTGTTTTAAATCTGATACTAGTGATTGGTATGATGCCTTCAGCTCATGATATCCTAGTAACACCTTGACCTAATTACATTACTATTATTACTATAATAACCAATTAATATAAAAAAACCTGCTTGGTTTTTTATATTCAGAATTTATTGAGGAAAACAGATATTTTTAAGCTTACCTCGTAAGAAAAATAGTTTTGAAATGATACGACTGTGGTCATAATATGACTTCAAATAATGAAAACCAATACACAAAAAAAATCTTTTGATCTTTTTAAATGTCAATGTATGCTTTTAGGTATCACAGTGGGTCTGACCTCAATACCACAGGGCATCGCATATGCTATGGTCGCTGGTTTGCCTCCACAGGTAAAATACTGGTATTTTAGTTTTTACTCCATGTTTTGAGTACTTGAGAAATTATTATGGGATAGCAGAAATCGCTAATTTGAAATGACGCGCAATAATAAGAAATTATCGTATTCTTTTTTATGACAAACGAGATGGCGGATTACTAATGGTAAGCCATCGTTGTCGCCAATAGACACTTGTAATAATAAAGAAGTTATTACAAGTGCTTTGCCGGCCTCTTTTGGGTTGTTAAAGATTACCGGATAGGGGATGGGGGAGTGGATGATTGGGCCTCCGGTGAACTTACTTACACGGCGAATTACAACGTAAGTGTTGCTTCTCGTCGGTTCTTGTGAGGCCTTGGTATCACTTCGGTCGAGCCGGCCCATTCGAGCTGAAGCATGGCTCTCCCATTCCCATCCCATGTTAACTGACTACTTAGTATGGGGTTAATAGTAACCAAACACTTTGAAGACATTTTGTAGTTTTGTAAAACAAGATCTTCAAATAAACCTGTTATTTTATTCTTCTAAAGCATCCAATTCCTCTGTATTCCAGGTGGGCCTCTATTCCAGCATATTTCCTGGCCTCATGTATATGCTGTTTGGAAGCTGCAAGGACGTCACAGTTGGTCCCACCGCCATTCTAGCAGCACTGCTTGCAAAGTACGTCGCCAAGTCAGCTGACTTCGCATATCTGGCTGCTTTTCTATCAGGCTGCTTTATATTACTTCTTGGGATATTACAGTTAGGTGAGTAGTCTTTATGAATTCAATAATTAACCAAGGACTTCGAAAACCTTTTCGAGTACAATCATGCGAGCGGCTAAAGAGTGGATAGCTTGGAAAGAGCCTTTCTTAAGTAATAATGTTCAGAGGCCTCGGTAGTTTTCACCCTAGGATTTGAAAAGTCAAAAAAGGAGTTTCAATTATTGTTTATGTTTCTTATATTATGTTGTTTATACATTTGCGTTTACCTCTAAGAGTAATGTTGAATAGAAATATTACATTGACCTTTATGTTTTGTGTAAACTTTGTCGGTTTATGAGTGCCTGGTGTCATGGCTCGGTGTTATGTTACTTTTCCTTAATACTAAAAGCATGTTGTGTTCTTGTGGTTTTAAGGAAAAAGTTTTAATATTACGATTATTATATGTATACTTATTTTTTTTTATCGCTTAGATATAACTTAAATCGGATACAGTGTTAATGAGATACCAAAGAGACTTGTCGAATGCCTCGTCATTGTGGTGCATGATGACTTTATCTACTCCTAAAAATGGAAGTAAATGGACGAGTTTCCGTTGTTATCTTATCGCATAGTTCAGCCCTTGAAGTCTAGTAGGTTTCTCCACTTGGAACATTCACGTGATGACTTGTAGAATAATCCTTCATGTTCTACTACATTCAACTGAAGTAGTCGACCTATAATAATTTTGTTATTAAAGAGGCTTATGTTATTAAACCGTGTATTTGTAAGTCAATATTACAATACGTTTTATGAAAACATGTTAATAATAAAATTCTTTCATGCGATGGATCTACAATCTTCTGCTATTCTAAAGGGTCCGATTTTCTGATCGCCTAGTATACTCTGTTGTGGCTGTGGCTAAGTAGGTAATGGCATATATTATATTCTGTCCGGTGACCCTTTATCCTTTTTAGTTTCATTGCAAACTCTATTCCGTCTACAGAAGGTACACAAATGTAACGTAGTTTTAATCTATTACATATTTGAATTAGAACAACAATGCGTACTTAATACTTGGGTAGAATTACAATTAGTTACATATATTGTTTCACATGCTTCATGACTCACAGAATAAATAAAAATGAAACCAGTCAATCGAGAATATCGCGCTGCATCGCACTCTCAAATTTCTCCATTTGCATATCTATCGTATGTAAACAACTCCTAAGCCATCTGTCGCCCTGTTACGCAAAGTGAAAGTGCTGTTTATGCTAATGTGTAAAGACGCTGAACTTCTTGAGTTCAATGAATGAATGAGTTTTTGTTGATGACTTCGATAACAAATATATTGGATCACCATCATCATCAGCCTATAAGTGCCCACTGCTGAGCAAAGGCTTCTTCTTCTCACACGGAGAAGATTTGAGCATTAATCACCACGCTTGCTTAAAGTGGATTGGCGATTAGAAACTATGAATCCAGGATTCCATGTGATTTTGTTTACCAGTATAGTGTTGTTCACCGTATGTCAGTGGTGTCTAAATAATCATAGAAAGAACTTACCTACATAATAATAACTCGGAAAAAATCAAATTGGTAACCCGCTCCCTCATTCATGAGAAGCGGGCGTTATAACCCCCGAGCTACCAAGACTTAACGAAGCCACACGGCATATTGAATAGATTGGAGTTTGTAGACCTCTAATATTTTTTTAAAGTTAAAACAATTATCAATTTGAAATCCATTACTCAAAATTGATACTTTTTTATTCGAAATTTTAAGTTTTTTAGTGCAGTGCTAGAATTACTAGAATTTTCATCGTTTTTCACTGTAAACTGTATGAAGTAACCTTGAGGTGTTTGGCGACACATTGTATTTATTGGAACTAATTTTATTAATTCAGCCTTGAACTCATTATAGAAGCGAGAATGTAACTGTGCATTCGTGCATGAAATTAAATATTGTTTTGGAAACAATGCGACAGACAATAATTAATTATTTTGAAAACATACAAATTTTTGAACTGAGAGATTGTGTAGATCTTAGTATAATCCTTATACTTATATGGAGGTATAGTGTGGGAGAGCCATGCTTCGGCACGAATGGTGCGGTTCGACCGGAGTGATACCACGGCCTCACACCACAGCGTTGTGTTTCGCTGTGTTAGTGAGGTTACCGGAGGTCCAATCCCTCCCCCCCATCTTTAAATCCTTATCCCCAAAAGGTCGGCAACGCACTCGTAACTTCTTTGGAATTGCGGGTGTCCATGCTCGTTTGAAGACCTTAACCATAAAAACAATAGAAAAAAAAGAATTTGATTATACGAAATAAAGTTTTGTGTAAGTATTAGCTATTGTAATATTATTTTATTAATACTATTTCGTCTGTTTTCAGGTTTTCTCCTAGACTTTATATCAAAACCAGTGATCAGTGGTTTCACTACGGCAGCCGCTCTTCAGATCAGCGCGTCACAGCTCAAGTCTCTGTTTAGGATATCAGGTAAGCGAAAATTAACTTCTCTTCATGCGTTTTCACTTCAATCAGCCTCTTTAGCCAAATACTGAAAAGATGACTGCTTTAAGAATGATAATCCAGCTCTATTCTAAACTCGGGTATCTTCACCGCGAGGACCACACGGAGGACACGGTGAAGCCTACAGTGGCAGTACCCCGCCTGCCTGGGCTGAGCACCGCCGTGTCCTGTTAGGAGGTGATCGGTAGCGACGACCTCACGGGTCCAGTTTTCTTAGTGGCCATGGTGCGGAGCGAGAGGAACTGAAAAGCCGTCTCTTTTTCTGCTAAGCAGTGAAGCTTGCAACGAAGGAGTCGTGCATGAGGGAGCTATTCTCCCCACGCCCCAGCCGCCATAGGAGGAGACACTCCAGGCGTCCGGGCTGGCGCATCAATCTCCAACCAGGACGGGAGGAATATTTAGAAGACATTCTCTATAAAAAAAATCTCTATATTATGTTCGTTGTAGCATATAAATTGTTTTTTTCCTAAAATAATACATATTGAACAAAATAGATTCGTTACAAAACTTATTACAGTGTCGATTTTTATTAAATTAAAAGTATCGCCTTATCCTGTCCTTGAGCTAAGTCGTGCTTTGGGTTTTTATACATGTGCTAATACTACCTATTTTCCAATTAAAGCGTTTAATTTAAATGTTATTATAAATTTGATATACATAATAATAAATATGTAGGTATAAAGAACCTGATTCATTGAATTTGAAACTTAGCTCTTATTAAATAGAATACATTTTGCAATTGCAGGTTCATCAGGCAACACGTTCTTCGATGCGCTGATAAACTTCTTTAAAAACATCAAGACAGTTCAGCTATGGGACACAGTGTTAGGGATCAGCACAATTATTGCACTACTGCTACTTAAAGTAAGTGTTGAAACAATATTTCTTCACCTTTAATAATTTCGTAAATAAATCTAATCAGGAAAAAAGTCACTTAATTTTCTGGCTAATTTGGCTCGTGTTGATCGAGTGGCGTACAAATTTCTATTTTATATTCCAAGGTTTTTTGCATTTATTCTCAATCTCAAGTATTTTGAATTTCTTACTCGTATCACGGAGAAGGTATTCTTCCTTAAGAAATCCGTTCATTCTAATACAGGAATTATACTGACTTTATAACGTTCAATATCACATCATATCATCAGCTCATAGGTAAGTGCCCACAATTGCAGAGCAAACGGCTCTTCTTACACGGAGAAAGTTTGAAGGAGGATTGGCTATTTCCAACTTTTAACAAGAAGTTGTAGGTCCAGGTTCCCTCACGATGTTTTCCTCTGCCGTATGTCAGTAGGTATGCTTAAATAAAGTTAGAAATTACATTTATACTAATATTATAAAGACGTAAAATTTGAAATTTGAAGTTTGTATGTAAGGGGTGCACTTTGGAACGGCATGTCGGAAAACCAAAATTCTTTCACTGATAGCATCAATTTTTCTGACTGCTATTGGCTATAAAACATCACCCTACGATCTATACGAGCCAAGCAGTAAGAGAAACCGCGCGAGAGTAGCTAGTATTTTATAACTCGGAAAAAGCCTTTAATTGCGGGCAAAGCCGAACACGTATTTGAAGATGGTTATGGGGATGATGTCGTGGTGGACCGCAGATTACAGCGCCCGCTTCTCATGCATGAGGGTGCGGGTTCGAAACCTTGTCAGGTTGTGTGGTCAGGTGGAAAACGTCTGGAGACTTTTCCCGCGTTATATGTTCTTTCTATGATAAATTAGACATCACTAATATGCGATAAGAAAAACGTCGGGAGGAAGCCTGATATTATAATTTCTAATTATTAGATATCGCCAATCAGCCTTGACGAAGCGTGGTGATTAATGGTCAAACCTCCGTGTGAGAAGAGGCCTTTGCTCAGTAGTGGGCACTTATAGGCTGATGATGATGATGATGATGATGATGATGATGATAAATATAGATTTCCAACTCATATTTTTCAGCGTGCAACAATAAAAGTATCAGACACGGCAACTCCATGCGCGTCCCGAATGGCGGCGTGCTGGCTCAACGTTGTTCGCGCACGGAACGCTCTCGTCGTGTTCGCGGCCGCCATACTTGCCTTCGTTCTCAACTTGAAAGGAATCACGCCCTTTGCACTTACAGGTTAGTAACTTCTTAACGTGATGCACTCCGGGTAGGCAATATGGTGATTTTTCCTACTTATAATTTTATTATACTAGCGAGCCCAGCTTCGTACTATTAAATTTTCCACCATTTAAAGATGTTACTAAACCTTTCCACTTCAATCACACTGTGAAAACTGTATTTTTGAAAAATAATAAAAATAAACAATGCATTCACATGAAACTATATACATAATACATAAAAGAAAGAGTAAAAATTATACAAATACGCCACCTTAAATAACCTTAACACTAACAATAAAATCTAAGACGTGCTTAATTAATAAAAAATATACATCAACGCCAGGCGGCCTCTTCAAAGACCGGTGAGTACCTCAAATCGGTTTAAGGATCTACCTGATAACCCTGATGACGGTCAAGGTGAGTCCTCACAGAGCCAACATACTTCCAGACGTGCGAAGTCAATTCGCGTACCCCCAATTGTTTTACAAATAGACGAAAAATGGACCCACAAGACAATTACGGATACTGTCAGGCGTTTTACTAAGGAATTTCATCTGCAGTATAGAAGTGCTGGTAAAGTAGCGATCCATTGCTACTCTAACCAAGGTCATAAAACCCTCGTCGATGGCCTTCGTGCTGAAAATCTATTGTTCCACACGCACTCTCGGAAGGAAGAGAGGAAACACAAGGTCGTCATTCGAGGACTCCCTGCTGAAGCAGTTGACTCCGTTGGTGAGGAACTGGCAGCCCTTGGGTTCAGCGAAGCTGTTGTAACCATTTTAAAGCAAATGTCGTCGTCAACCAACGCATCCACATGCCCACCAATTTTGGTGCAGCTCCCTACCGGAACAGAAATCGGCAAATTTAAACAAATTAAGTACCTGTGTAACTGTGCCGTTAAAATTGAGAGATTTAAGCCTAACTACAACTTTGGTACCCAATGCTATCGATGCCAAAGATTTGGTCATGCATCTAAAAATTGCAATTTGCCCGAACGCTGCGTAAAGTGCATTGGTGATCATGCTACCAGCAGTTGTGTTAAGAAAGACAGAACCAAATCGGCTCAGTGCTGTAATTGTAAAGCAGATCACCCAGCAAACTACCGCCAATGTCCAGCAAGACTTGATTATCTACAGCGGTTGGATAATATTCAAGCAAAGCACCAAGCGCAGAAAGTAGCTGCTAATATTGCAATTCCGACCCAAAAGTCTACTCCAGCTAGTCTTACTATACCAGTTCCAAAGGAATCTAAGCCTCCAGTTCGGATGCAACCACGACCTCTACTAACTGATCGCACCTGGGCTAACGTCGTATCAGCACCTAAGGATTCTAGAAGAACTGCTTATATCTCGGAGTTTGAAGCCACCACAGGAAGCGACGAAGTCACCATCGAGATGCTTCAAATCCTTAACATCATAAAAAGGATTAAAACTCAATTTATATCATGTCCCACTATGATGGACAAAGTTATACTAGTACTTACTCACCTAGGTCACTGTGTTTGAGTCTGATATATTTCGCATTTTATACTGGAATGCGGACGGCATTCGTGATAAGTTATCTCAGCTTATAGATCTTGCTGTTTGTGATTTATCTTCAGATATTATAGCTGTTAATGAAACCAGAATTAACGAACAGGTTCCTCTCCATATTCCGGGATACAGTTGCTATCGTCAAGATAAGCGTCACGACGGTCGTGGCCAAGGCGTAGCTATCCTAATACGTAGTAATATACCTCACTCGCAAGTCTGTGTTCCTGTCCTCGGACACTTGGAGGCGGTGGGTATTGAAATTACTGTGTCTTTTCAGAAGGTTTTAATTTTTTCTATTTACCAATCACCTAATCTTGATATTTTGATTAATAATCTAGAAACCTTATTAAACACTGGCAAGAGGGTTATGTTATTGGGCGATTTCAATGCGCGCCATCCCCATTGGTGCTGTGTGGGTGACACGAATCGTCGCGGAGAAATCCTTTTTGAGCACATGCTTTATCGCAACTACAGTATTTACGCACCATCTATCCCAACTCTGGTTCATTACTGTGTTAATAACAAATCATCGACACCTGATCTTGTTATAGCTTCTAATTTGCCCTGCGTTTATGAGTTAAAAGCATTTACCGCTCTTTCGTCCAATCATTTGCCCGTACTGCTGTCATTGTGCATGTCAGTTGAAAGGCAAACTTACATGCAGTATAAATATAGTTCCGCTGACTGGCAAAAATATCGAACTTACTTAAATAACAATACTACCTTAACAAGAAGGACAATTGATTCGGTAAATACCATCGAAAATGAAGTAGCTAAGCTAACTAATGAAATCACTAAGGCTAGAGATTACTTTATTCCTAAGGTCAGAATCGACTATAAGCCTAAACCATTACCTAAATTTATAAAAAAAATGATAAAAACTAAAAATAAATTAAAAGGTCGCGAAATACGAACCAATAATTCTGTTGAACGCAAAATTCTTAGACATAAAATTAATCTGTTACAATTTAAAATAAAATCTGCTGTAGAAATATTCAATGATAAAATTTGGTCTGATAAAATGTCAAAGGTTGATAATTCTCATAATGACCTCTGGCGTATCACTAAATCCCTTAAAAATAAATCAAATACTATACCACCCCTTCATAAATCAAATAATCAATTAACCAAATCTGTGTCTGAACAGTGTAATGAGTTAGCGAATACATTTATAAGTAATATGAGTCTCACCACTGAATGGTCTGATGATGAAGTATCCTCACAGGTTCGGTCGTCGATGGAACTTATTAATACGACTACTGTTGAGAAATGTCATATTAAACTAGTGCGCCCACGCGAGATAAGTGTTTACATACGCAAACTTAAAAACCGCAAGGCGCCTGGCTATGACAACATACCTAATATTTTGTTGAAAAACCTTCCCCGAAAATGTATTGTTCTCCTAACTAAATTGTTTAACGCTTGCTTAAAACTACATTACTTTCCTAGTTATTGGAAGTCAGCTAAAGTAATTGCAATGCCCAAACCAGGGAAAGACCATTCGTTTGCTGTTAATTACCGCCCGATCAGCTTATTACCGTCACTCGCTAAGCTCTTTGAGCGCATTATCTATAAGCGTCTGATGGCCCATCTGGAGAGTCAGTTTATTCCTGAGCAGTTTGGTTTTCGGAATGCACATTCAACAATACAGCAACTTGCTCGCGTCAGTGAACATATTTCGCATAATCTGAACTTGAAACAATCAACCGGCATGGTGCTACTAGACGTTGAAAAAGCATTCGACACGGTTTGGCATGATGGTTTATTTCATAAGCTTTTGTTGTGTAAGTTGCCTGTTGAACTGATTAAACTCATGCAGTCTTACCTCTCGGATCGGAATATGTCAGTGCACATTGGCTCGACTCAATCTGAGTCCTTACAAATCCCTGCTGGAGTGCCCCAGGGTTCCGTATTAGGACCATTGTTATTTCTGGCGTATTTATACGACATACCTAAACAACCCCGAACCAGTTTGGCATGCTTTGCAGACGATACTGCAACGTACACCTCATCAAATGATGAAAATCTAATTATAAGCAGGCTTCAACTCTCCATTGAATTGCTGGCTGAATACTTCACTAGATGGAAACTAAAGCTGAACAGTTCTAAAACCGAAGCAATTATGTTTTCGAGAAAACGTAAACCTCCTGATCGTACATTGGTTATTAACGAACATCACATACCATGGTCTAGAACAGTCAAATACCTTGGTGTTAACCTTGATACCAAATTGAACTGGACTTCCCATGTTGAAAAAGTGAAAATAAAAGGTCTTAAGGCGTTTGGTGCACTCAGTCCTATTTTGAATAGGAAATGTAATTTAAGCGCTAGCACTAAACTTAAAATATACACAACGTTAATTAGGCCATGTTTCACTTATGCTGCACCTGTTTGGAGCAGCACTTGTGAAACCAATTTGCAAAAATTACAGGTTCTGCAAAATAGAGCTTTAAAAATTGCGTACGATACTCCATTCTGTACGAATCTCAAAACGCTTCACTTGCAGATTAAATTTCCTACAGTAAAAAAATATATTTATAATATAACATCAAAATTTTATAAATACACAAATTTTGATCATAGAAATAAGTTAATATCTAATATCGGATTATCACGTTTATCGACACTACCGTATGTCGATACTTACAATCGATACCGTCTACCGCATCACTACATACTCGCCGAATCAAGTAGCAATGATGACGCGCTTGCGCCGGTGCTATAAATTATATTCGTATGTGGCGGGTATCTTTAAGATAGTTTATTACGAATGCCGTTGATCAATGTTCTTTATTAGAATAATATTAGAAATTAATTGTTAATTAGCATATATTTATGGTAAATTATTGTTTTAAAAGTGTGTCTGGTTCAAAGAAGCGTTATCGTAAATTTACCGGATTACTTGTGTAACAGTGATTTGTACCTACATTGTAATAAAAAAACTGTGAGTATTATCCAATTTGTAATTTAAAGACTTAATATAGGTGTATTAGCCTGCATAGTCATATTTGTACCATGATTCTTATAAACTGACCGTGTCTGTTTTATAATGACTGTAATGTTTCTTATGTTAAATAAAGGAATTAAAAACAAAAAAATAAAAAATATACAAAATTAAATAAATTTAAGCATTAAGACACAAAACGTCACACATTCCCTGCATACAGTCATCTATTGTGTCGCAAATCAGCGTTTTTTTTTTTTTTTTTTGTGAGGGGTAAATCATCAAATGACTTCTCCCGCCCAGGGCCGGGCAGGAGGGAGTGTCAGACTCTTACTGACTAAAAACCCCCCTGTTCCTTCTCCTGCTCTGTGCCGAGGTTGCGGTACCTCATTGCGCTTATCCCGCAACCCCGGCTGAACATCAGCCCTTTAGGACCCCGTCTGTGGTGGTCGAATGGCTCTTTGAGGCGCGCGCGGAACGCTACGCGCCGTACCCCTTGATCCCCGACGCCCGTAGTGTCGCCAGTTGCGGCTGCTGGGGCGTGAGGAGGAGGATTGCTCCCTCACGCGGGCCGCCTCTCTCTTTGCGAGCATGACTGCTTCACAAAAGGAGGAGACGGCGTCCCAGTTCCTCTCACTCCGCACCATGGCCTCGACTAAGGCCGGGCGCGAGAGGTCGCCGCCGCCGATCACTTCCCTGAGGATACGGCGGTGCTCAGCCCAGGCAGGGCATACCGCTACCGTATACTCCACCGTATCCTCTAGGTGGTCCTCACAATGACGACACTCGGGCGTTTCCTCCCGCTGGATCCGGAACAGGAACCTACCGAAGCTGCCGTGCCCGGTAAGCACCTGCGTCAGGCGAAAGGTGAGGACGCCGTGGCGTCTCTCAAGCCACTCCTCAAAGAGGGGTCTTACCGCTGCTTATTCGGCAGCGTTAAAGCACGAACACTGATGTATGAGCACAATATTTCGTGCGGATACTAGTTACGGCTAGGAAGTAGTTATTGCGGGGCCTTCATAAGCGCCTGGTAACGTCACAAACTTTGAAAATTTCAAAGACAAAGTCAATGTCAAATCATTTATTTCAAACAGACCACTAAAGAAACTTAAGAACGTCGAACAAAAAATAAATATCAAAAAAATTGTGAGTCTGCTCTCCATTGAAGCTATTTTATCGTTCCAAAGTGTAAATTTCAATGGAGAAGAACGAACAAGAAACGCCACGGTTACTTTTTTAATCAATTTCACAATTCATGTTTGTTTTTCAGTCTGTTCCATTAATTATATTATTGTCAAGAAATAAAAAACCATTTGGTATTAAATGTTTAGTTATTTCTTTTTAGGTACCATACAGGGTGGTCTGCCCAAATTTGGACCACCACCTTTCAACACGGTGGTCAATAACCAAACGCTTAACTTCGAAGATATGTTAGCCGTTTTTGGAGGAGAAGGGATTGTGATGCCACTCGTTGCTATACTGGAGAGTATAGCTATTGCTAAGGCATTTGGTAAGTTGCAAGCCTTTCAGTTTTTTTAGGAAACATTTCGCAAATTAAGCAGGGGATCTGTACAACTTGATTCCTCCTAGTACTTTCCACCGTCGTAACACTAGTCAAGCGGAAAAATGTCACCGCTTCATGGTGGATTCCCAAATATGCAGAAAGATTCCACTTCAGTCATCAGAACAGCTAAGGAGTGGAATTGTTTACCGAAGTCTGTATTCCCTAAAGGGTGGTAATAACCTGGGTGTCTTCAAGGCCTGAGTACATAGTCTGGGTAGCCGTGCTTCATCGCTTACCTACAAGCGAGTTGAGCCGAAGACATTATTAAAACTTCCCATGATAGAATTCTTTTACTATAAATAAAGCAACAAGTATTCGGTGTATTATCACTTTCTTTACTTCTTATCTCCTAGTAACCCAATAAGCTAAGGTTTTGTCCAAAGACCAACGTTTGTTTTATTACTTGACAGCGGGGAGTACAACAGTGAACGCGACGCAGGAGATGCTGGCCATCGGTATGTGTAACGTGGTCTCATCGTTCGCGCAGAGCATGCCCTCCACTGGTTCCTTCACTCGCACCGCTCTCAACCACGCCAGTGGAGTTGTTACACCCGCTGGGTGCTTCTTCAAAGGTAAGAATAAATGGCGTTATTATACTAATCGTTAGCGTTTTCAAAAGTCCTTTTCACAAGCCCAGCAATGTTCTTAACTCTTTTGGTAATGTGGATGTCTATGGGAGGCGCTGATTGCTACAGTCTTTATAAAAAAATGAATAAAAATGAGGACTCACGTGAATTCACTGTAAAAAACTGTGCTTCTTTTTAGTCACAAAGGGACTCTTATGAATGAGCCGCGTGCGCATCGTGGCGACGTCGCGTCCATACTAAGTTGTCGTCAGTAGGTAAATTTAGTATGTCTCACTATACTAACTTTTAAATAATAATAACTTTTTGCGTTAATATCCGTGTAATTATATGTTGTCGTACTATTCAAAAATATCCCCTAAAATTAGGTTTTCGATTAATTACCTAAATATTTAGATATATACAATATTCTAATCCGCAATATTTCTGTCCCCAGCCATGTTAGTATTACTAGCTGTGACGCTGTTGGCTGACGCCTTCTACTTCATCCCGCGCGCTACGCTGGCCGGCATTATAATAGTCGCCATGTTTTCACTTATGGAAGTCACTATTATCAAACAATTGTGGCGGAATAGTAGTAAGTATTATTTGTTTTGTTTCTTGATAATGTTGAGTATAACAAGTATGTAGAAAGTATCAAACCCTAATTGTTTAGTCGCTTCTTGCTTGGTGTCTTAATTTACTATACTCCATTCGCGATGATTTGCTTCTGTTTCTGGTATCCTGGTAGTTTTATATTTTTACTATTTTTTTCTAAATTCCTAGTGATGCCTTATTTAAACCGCAACATAAATAAGTATTTTTCGTTTTAATTCTATTGTTAGTAAGTTAATTCGACATTTTACAATCCAAATACTTATTTGGAAAGAAACCGCTCATCTAAACTACGATGGAGTACTAAACTTCTACAAAGTCATTAAAGTAGTTACAATAACAGCGTATCTTTCCTTTAAGTATATGTATTACGTTTATAAAAAAAAAAGTTGTTTTTTTTTTATAAACTACACATTACATAGTTGTTTTTGTTTATAAAAAAAACAGTTGCTTTTTTTATAAACGTAAAGTAACGTAAGATTTTGTTTACTTTAAAATTACCGAAACATTCAAGGAGTTTACATACCTAATTATTAATTAATTTGACTTATACAGTGTCATGCCAAACTTTAAAAGTGATGTAGTCTTACAAGACCGATAAAAATAAAAAAATAATTTAACGGAATTTAATGGAACATACATCTATTTTTTATGAAAGTGTTCGCTTCTTTGTGTGATTGGGCTGTGGTTATAAAGTGACTGGTGGTACGTAGAGTTGGAGCTGTGCGTGTACTGTGTGACGGTGGCGTGCGGCGCGGCGGGCGGGCTCGAGTACGGCATCCTCGCCGGCGCCGCCGCCGACGCCGCGCGGGCTCTAGCGCGGGCCGCGCGGCCCCCCATACATGGGACTGCCTTCAAGGTAGGCTATACCTTCCATGTATCTTAAATACTTACGTGGGTCGTTCGGTTACTAATGGTGCTATGCTCTACATTCAAAGCCAAAGTTTTGACACATGAAAAAAAAATCAATGAATAATCAATGAAGTCAATAAAGTGTTCCAAATTACGTTAAATAATGTTTTACGTTTTTCATTGTAATGAGTAAGTTATTTATGTGTTTTCCAATGTCGGCGAAAAGCAAGGTAGATACACAACGTACCCTAACACTAAGCCTAGACCGCAGTGACTCTAAAAATAAAAACACAATTAAAGTCTACGTAAACACTAAAACTATTTTTCAAAATTACCCTCTGTCAGGTGGGCAACCAAGACTGTGTGTCCCTGAGCCTGCCGGGCTGGCTGTCGTACGCCAGCGCCGAGCACGTGCAACACAAGCTGCGCCGCCTGGCGCCGCCCGCCGCCGCCGTGCTCGTCCTGGACGCGCGACATCTCTACGCCATGGATCTGGGAGTCGCTGAGGTAACCTAAAAAAATCTTTAGTCCCCTGGAGCATGCCACTGAGAAAATAACGATTTTGTTTACTTTAAAATTACCGAAACTAAAGGAGTTTACATACCTAATTATTATTAACTAGCTGCTCTCGCGCGGTTTCACCCGCGGCTCAGGTCAATTCAATCGTAGCGTGATGTTTTATAGCCTGTAGCACTCAGGAACATTGTAGTTATCTATCAATGAAAGAATTTTGTCAATCCGACCAGCGGTTCCAAAGATTAGCCCCTACATACAAACTTACAAATTTTATACATAAAATTTACAATCTATACTTTATATGTAGTATGGATTGAATTTTACAGTATCTAATGATTTCCATTATAATTGCGTAGTGGGAAAATTATCTAATCTTTAATTATCTCAAATATCATTATTTTTACTTTCCAGAATTTAGTATCTGTGATAGTAGATCTAGAAAAGCAAGGCTACAGGTTCTTGCTGTGGAACTTCAGACGGAGTCATCGACAGCTGATGGAAGACATCCACTCAGGGTTTGAGACTCGCTTCGTGGACGGACCCAGTATTGATCAACATATTTTAAGTAAGAACAATCATTAAGTATATTTTTTTATATAAACAGACATTATTTACCAGGATAACATAAAACAGAAGAGCTTTGTTCCAGTTGCTAGTGGTCAAGCCGATTTCAAGACTAATATTTCACGACTGTGATCACTTGAACATTACGAGGCTCAGGTAAGTGTGGAGAGCTGGAAAAACTAATTTAATTATCAAAATGTATGGGTACTTGGGTCTTTTTAACTCTTTGTACTCTTTCTTTAAACTTTTTAATCTAATTACACAATAATTATAATTCTTCTGCATGACCTACGCTATACTAACTCTCCACACGTACCAGGCTTCTATAAATTACCAGGAGACTTTCGTTGTTTAATGGATTTCTCTTTATTTACAGGTTTGGATGTTATCCGATAAGATGCAGTTTTTTAGGTATAAATTTAAGCTCAGTGAATTTGAAAGACTATTATCAAGTTTTACAATGTTTTTCACAATTTTATCTCCATTCTCTCAGTTATTGTGATTGTTAGGAAACATTACCTTTAAGTATTTCCTATATTTAATGTTGTTAGGACATCGATCTATCCGTAAGATAGAATTGTTCCCGCCAAATAATATTCCATAGATAATGATAAATATAAAAATATAGTCTAATTAATACATTCCGGTAATTAAATAGGTAAATGAAATTTAAAATGTAATTATTTAAATCCATTACTTAATATCATTTATAAGTGATATAAAATGTGATATTGCGTTTTCAATCAGAATACGGTAGTTTCCAACTAGTCAAATTCAATGGTTTATTCTATGAAATCGCAAAATATGACGCCATTTTTTTCTACGTCAAAATTTGCTATAAAAGTATAAAATTTAGTATTTATATCAAATCAATGAATGAAAGAATAAATTGTATTATGTTTTAATATTTCATTGTATTGAGAAGCCAAAATATTTTTTTTTGTCCTAGGAAACTACTCAATTATTAGATATGCGATGAATCTGAATTATGCTATATTGAAACTTTGCTATAAGTATGTAGATGTAGGTAGATTTTAGTTAAGAAATGAGTGTTTTCCGAAACCTGTACCCGTGAGATGGCAGCTCTGTAGCGTCAAGTCCATCCACCTGTTAAACCCAATATTGTTATCCAAAATGCCACAATGTTGTGCAAATAAATACGTATATCTAAGCAATCTTTTTGGGCTCAATCTTCTTCAGCTCGGAAAACTTTCTTTGTCTGTAATCCATTATAAAATCAGCAATACTTCTCCAAATGCATACAATTTTACTAAACTATTTATTATACGTTCCTTAAGCTGTGCTATCTGACAGTTGCTTGGACTTCACGCGTGCGAAGCGCCGCCTGGTAGCAGAAAACAGAAAACTCTCATCCAACTTAAATGGTGCTGTATTTCTTTTAACAATTAAGTGTCTTTTATGTATGTTACCTACTTTATCGAATATAGAAAGAAAAACAACTTTTTTCTATGTTTAAGTCTACAGGTTTTTTTAATTCAATTTCTGTATATATAAGTACAATTTGTTGAGGTTTGTGAATATGTAGGTAGCTATACTTAATAAAGTTATTGTGAAGTTTTTATTAAATATTTTATCAATAAGTTACGGTGTTGTTTTATTTTCCACTCAGATTAGTAAATGATATGGTACAGAACTATTTATTATTGGTTCAGCCCAATATTCAGCAAATCTTGTACAATTAAGTGGAATTTGGCAAACAAACAATCCTTTATTTATTTTGTGAGGGGAAAATCATCGAATGACTTCTCCCACCCACTTTTACTGATTAAAACCCTCCCGTTTCTACTTCTGCTCTAGGCCGCGGCCGCGGTACCTTATTGCTTTTGTACCACGTAACAAAAAAATTAGTTGTTTCTAGTACATCAAATACATATAATAGAAATTTCAATACATACCTAGACAAAAACATCAGCATTACGAAGTAACTAATTTAATAATACAACGCGGCTTCGCCAGCGTGGTATGTAGTTAAAAAGCAGCCTATGTCCTATTCCGGTGTGTATCCTATACCCTTGCCAAGTTTCATCCAGATCCGTCCAGCCGTTTTGGCGTGATTGACTAACAAACATCCAAACATCGCAACTACTTTTTATCGCATTTATAATATTAGTTAGATAAGATAATACATAGACAAAATACAACTGTATTTATACGTAAATAGAGAATGACAGTATCACCGCTATCATCTCGCCAGCTAAGGTTTGTAAGCCGTTGTCGCAAGCACTGAGCCGTCAATCCTAACCATTTATTTTAAATCGTAAATACCGAAGCAAGGCTTTCATCTCCATGCTTCGTTTACATCGATTCCATTAGTTGAGTTACTTGTTGAGTGAGTACTAGTTGATTAGTCGCTAGAAATCCTTTAAATAGGAGGCTTAGTCTTTACCTTAAGCCTGGTAGGCTGATTAAAGATCAGTCTGAGTTTATATCACAAATGAAACCCGACTGAATGATGAAATAAAGGAATGAATTGTGGAACTGATTGAAAAAGAGTAGTTAACTTTGCTCGTTCTTCTTTATAGGAATCTACACTTTGGAGCGAGCAAATAGCTTCATCAGAGGGCAGACCGACAGACTAACACACACAAAGTTAAACTTATAGATATTTTTTGTTTGACATTCATAAGTGCCTATATCCAGTGGTCTGTTTTTGAAATAAATGACTTGGTCTGGTCGGGGTCAAAAGTTGAAACAAATTATTTGATTTGGTCAGAGTCATAGTCGATGGATATGTAGGTATCCATTGTACCTAACAGTTTTAAAAAAATAAATAAATTGGGAATAGAACATGAATAATAAGTGTGGGAGAGCCATGCTTCGGCACGAATGGGTCGGTTCGACCGGAGTGATACCACGGCCTCACAGAAAATCGGCGTGAAACAACCACAGCGTTGTGTTTCGCCGTGTGAGTGAGGTTACCGGAGGCCCAATCCTTCCCCTTCCTTCCCCAATCCCTAAATTTCCAAATCCCTAATCCCTAAAAGGTCGGCAACGCACTCGTAACTCCTCCGTTGCGGGTGTCCATGGGCGGCGCTGATTGCTTACCATCAGGTAATCCGTCTGCTCGTTTGCCGAACTATTACATAAAAGTGTTTAACTGCAGTGTACTGAATAACTTGAGTATTTTATGGCTCTCCTAGTCGCTAACAGTTTGTATTATAAAGGTTTCTTAGCTCCATTAACTTTCCTTACGCTAGAAGCAGTAAACGCACCATAGTGCCTATCTATACTAACTTCAACTCCAACTCGCTCAATTACTAACTAGCTATACAAACGAGGCTTAAAACTAAATCCCAGTTAAAATTCAGTGAGTTAAGCCGGCCTGAGTAATGACCGACGATTTCGATGTGACATCCATAGCTCTGGTAGAATACATAGACAAATTTTACGCATTACTAATTAGTTGATAATCCTTGTAGACTGGAGTCTTATCATTATCGACCTTCTAACTCATTAATTTTGGTCATACAATTACATATTGGTCCTTATTTGATGTAATCTTTTCTATGGTTATTTTTGGTTGGAGAAAATCATCAAATGACTTTTCCCGCCCAGGGCCAGGCGAGATGGAGTGGTCTCCAATCGACCCCACGTTTATCTTGATGGTAAGCTACCTGTGTCAACCATGGATCCATAAATCAAATGCAATCATACTACTTTTCTTGGATTTCAAAAAAACAATATGTATACATAGAACACATACTTAATATACCTAAAGAAAGCAATAAAAAACCATTTTTTACAAAAAAAAGTACCTATCTATAACGATCTCTCAATATGAAATTTATTTGAACTTAGAATTACAAGTTAATTCAAAGAAACAAAATTATAAAGTTCACCTTTTAAAAACCTGCAATTTTATAAGTAAATACTTAATATTAGGTAGAAGAAATTAATTTCTCATATATTAAAGCTGTATAAGTAAAAATATAGAGACGGTGTGGTATTCACGTCACGTACCGCAGTTATTTACAACGCTGCCGCGCGCATCCTAAGCAACAAAGCAGTGACTACATCTTTTACACTACACAATACATAGACACGTATATTATGTACAGTGTACATTATTTTTGGGTTTTTGAACGTTTACGTAAACTGCTGGAAACTGCCCAAGTTTTCTCAGTCAAAAACAATTAACTAAAGGTCGATTGGGCTTCATCATGAAGTCTATTGATAAATAAAAAACATCAAAATAAAACCTTTACACTTAAAAAACCATAATAGTACTTAAAATTAATCATTTATTATGTTTGCAATATATGTATTTATAAAATAAGTATACCTATGCTATGACGTTAAAAAAAGTAAACTTGTAGAAAATTTATGTTTTTGATATTTCACAAAAAGAATTCAATTCGACTAACAGGGACCTACCGTATTGTTATTTATTAACTCACTTTAGGTTTGGAAATCGTACCGGAGTTGCGGGGCAAGCACAATAGGGTACCGCGGCCTCGGCCTAGAGCAGGTGAAGGAACGTGAGGAATTTTTAGTCAGTAAGAGTCTGACAGTCCCTTTCACCTCACCCCGGGTTAGGGGACATTAGATGATTTACCAAATATAAAGTTTGGAAATCGTACTTGTGATGCTTAGCGTAGCGACCGGTCGCATAGACACAATATGGCATTGTTACTACAACTAAATTAAATATTTAATTTATAGAAAACTAGCTATTACCCGCGGCGTCGCTCCCGTCATTTGACTACTTACCCTTCTCTACCTACCCGGCTCTACCTACCCTACTCTACCTACCTACCTACCTACCTACCTACTTACTCTACTCTACCTACCTACCTACCCTACTCTACCAACCTACTCTACTCTACCTATCTACCCTAATCTACCTACCTACCCTACTCCACCTACCTATCCTGCTCTACCTGCCCTACTCTACCTAACCTAAACTACCTACTCCATCTTATCCTATATCTTTCTCCCAGTTCTTAGCTACGAATTTCCAGCCAAATCGGTTCCGGCTGAACCGATTTGGCTGAAAATTCTCGAGTTATAAATAATAGTGTAACTAACACGACTTTCTTTTATATATAGATCATATTAGCATTATTACAATTAACGCATAAATAAACCAATTACTTTATTACATACCAGGATACCAATAATTCAAGAAGCATTTAAATAACCACCAACCTTTTGTCTGTAGCTTCCCGCTTCGGACGTGGATGCAAATACGTTACTTTGCTACATTTGGTATTTGCTGCCTCGCACTCTTGTGCTATAAATTTTATTGCTTAAAATATTACTGCTTGATGTTATGTTACCTTAGTATTTTGTAGCTACAAACATTACGCTTATCCATCTTCAAACAAAATATCAAAAGAAAAATTATGAACATTTTGCTGATAAAATTTCTGTTTCAAACATTTTTAATGAAGATCACAGGTTCTTTTTGTATCAACATAATTGGGTATTTAAATAATTGGAGACTTAGTTAAAACATTTTTAAAGGTTTTTAATTTAAACATAATATACAAAACAATCACTAGTTTCAAATATATTAGTATTTTAATACCGTATACTTAAATAATTTTCAATCATTTGACATCACAACACCTCATTTCAGAATCCCGCATAAAATTCAATGCAAACTATTGACGATTTGAAAAATGGATTGTATTTGATTAATATTGTCAGTCTTCAATTATATTTTTAGTCCTATCCAAAATTTGCTTAAGTCTTATAAGATTAGGTATCAAGCTACATGAGAAGGTTACTATAACGATCTACCAAGGTACGTCAATAAATAACTGGAACATTATCCAGATTTTTTGCAAAAGATCATCCTTACTGCGTAATTAACGATGCTGCCATCCATCAATCAGGTTCAGCTCGATTTACCAACTTAATCAGATGACATGGCGTAAATATGGCACTATGGCGTGCTGCCGACATAACGACGGCTATCCGGTGGCTGTGGAATATGATGCGCAATAAAAGAGATACAGGTCATTTTATATTATGACTACCAGGGTAGCAGATTTACAAAGATACCTAATATTATCATGTTAATGAATGCATTTTGTTTCTATATTAGAGAAACTTGTGAGAGAAACTTTCCAGCAATTACAAGATTACCTACTGATTTATTTCAATGTTAAATAACATCTTTTCTATAAATCCCTGAAGCTGTAAGCTTTTGCTCACTACATTATCAATGAAAAACATTTTTATTTACACCATTTCATATACCTACAGTATTTATTAATTAAAACAATGCTTTTCCGAAATTCAGCCTTGACAGTTCGATTAACTTTAAGTCTCATTCAATAAAATAAACGACTTTAAAAAAAAACTTCTCTTTTTGTACAAAGTACCGAAGCGAGGTAACTTTTAGTTAATATTTTAATTAAAATAAGTTAGTAGACACCCGTTGGACACCTTAACGTTTTTCTTACAATTTCAAAGTCAGTCAAATTCAATTTGCCTTTGTGAGTTTAACTTTCTTCGACCGATGTAAAAATATTTTCTTATGAGACGTTGGTATCCGTTTCATTTTACAATTTTGCGATATTATTTAACAACTTTAGTTTGCTGCTTCTTGCGGTGTTTGCCTTTTAAAATAAAGT